CAGACCACCCCCCGTGCCCCCAACAGCTGCTGCCACAGGGACACGCCGGTGGCCCTGGCTGCTGGGGACAACGACAGGGTGGCCTAGGCCACCTTTACGCCTCATCGTGCTCTTGGGCCACCTCTACGTCACCGGCGTCCCCACAACCGTGGTCAAGACGACCTTGAACCCTTCACCTGATGCATCCTGTGTCCTCTGTCTCCTCAGAAACACCACCACAGGCCATGCTGGTGGCCCTGGCTGCTGGTGACACCACCAGAGCACCCGCCACCTCGAAACCATCTCCTCGTGCCCCCCAACCCCCCCCTCCCCACACCCCGGTCGGCGTCCCCGACGTTGTCACCTTGAAGGGGTCGGGGTCAAGGGCACGGAGGACGAGGGAGGCGGTGACGAAGCAGATACCCTCGGTGATGAAGGGCGAGTGGACGGGTCGGGGTTCGAAGAGGTCGGGGTGGTTGCACACCTTCCGGAGCTGCATCAGCACGTTGATGACGCTCATGAAGTGTCCGCTGGCCAGGGTGGCCTTGGTGCTGCCGGAGGGGGACATGGGGAGGGTGAGGGGGGGTGCGGGTGACGCGCGGGGACGCGAGGGGAGGCATCACCCACCTGGCCTGGCCCATGAAGTCGTCGTAGAGGTAGCGCTGGCGCTTGGAGAGGCGGCACTTGAGGACGTGCTCGTACTTCTTGGGCATCTGCTTCTCCACATCCACCTTCAGGCGGCGGAGCAGGAAGGGGCGGAGCACCTGGGGGAGTGGCCAATCAGCTGGCAGCTCCTTGCAGGGTTCCACCCCATAATATGGGGGTGACCACCCACCCCACCCCCCCCGAACAGTAATGGTGGGGTGGGGGTCAACCACACCATGGAGTTGGGGTGCGATGTGAAATGGGGTGCCCTGAAATGAGGGTCACCCCCACCCAGCCACACCCCACAACAGGGGTCACCCCCACCCAGCCACACCCCAAAATGGGGACCCCCAGCCCCAGCCACACCCCAAAACAGGAGTTACTCCAAAATGGGGGTCACCCCCACCCAGCTACACCCCAACACAGGAGTCACCCCCACCCAGCTACACCCCAAGAAACGGTTACCACTAACCAGCTACACCCCAAAATGGAGTTACCCCCACCCAGCTACACCCTAAAATGGGGACACCCAAACCCACCTACACCCCAAAACAAGGATCACCCCAAAATGGGGTTCACCCCCACCCAGATACACCCCAAAACAGGGACACCCCCACCCAGCTACACCCCAAAACAGGACTCACCTCAAAATGGGGGTTATCCCCACCCAGCTACACCCCAAAACAGGAGTCATTCCAAAATGGGGCTCACCCCCACCCAGTTACACTCCAAAACAGGGTCACCCAGACCCAGCTACACCCCAAAATGGGGGTCACCCCAAAATGAGAGTCACCGTCATCCAGCTACCCCCTCAAGTAGGCGTCACCCCCACCCAGCTACACCCCAAAACAGGAGTCACCCCAAAATGGGGGTTATCCCCAACCACCTACCCCACAAAATGGGGACACCCCCACCCACCTCCACCCCAAACTGGGGCTCAACTCCCTTCCCTGCTACACCTGCCGGCCTCCCCCCTCGCCCCCCTGAACCCGGGGTACCCCCCACCTTGTGAAGGCGCTTGACAAGGCTCTCGTTGTACTCCTGGCTACCCTCGATCATGCCGGTCAGGGGGTTGGAGAACCACTCCTTGAACTCCCGGTGGGACTGGAAGACGCGGGGCATCAGGAAATGCATCAGGGACCACAGCTCCATCAGGCTGTTCTGCAGCGGCGTCCCCGTCAGCAACAACCGCCGCTGGCTGTGGGGAGGGAACACCCGTTAGCCTACCGGCACCCATGGGTGATGCCAGGAGGGGGAGCTACAGAGCACCCGTGGGTTCCCTCCGGTGGTTACAGAGCACCCCCAGGTAGCTACGGGGCACCCATGGGTACCCCCAGCCAACTACAGTCATACATAAGGGTACCCCCAGGCAGCTACGGGGCACCCATAGGGACCCCTGGGCACCCATGGGGACCCCCAGCCAACTACAGTCGTACATAAGCGTACCCCCAAGCAGCTACAGTCGTACATAATGGTACCCCCAGGCACCTACAGTCGTACGAAACGGCAGCCCCAGGCAGCTACAGGGCACCCATGGGTACCCCCAGCCAGCTACAGTCGTATGTAAGTGTATCCCCAGGCAGTTACAGAGCACCCCTGGGGACCCCCAGGCAGGTACAGTCATACATAAGGGTAGCCCCAGGCAGGTACAGGGCAGGTCCAGCCCCTTGGGGTGTCCTCCAGCACCCATGGGTGCCCCCCAACATCCCCGGGGTGCCCCCAATGTCCCCAGGGTGCCCCAACAACCCAGCACCTCAGACTGTTTGCCAGCACGCCTGGGTTCCTCAGCACCTCGAGGTGTCCCCCAGCCCCTCGGGGTGTCCTCCAGCCCCTCGCCCACCCCCCCCAGCACCCATGGGTGCCCTCCTGGGACCTGTTGAAGTTGAGGAGCGATTGCCAACGTTGGGATTTGAAGTTCTTGATGTTTTGGGCCTCATCCAGGATCAGGTACTTCCAGTTCTTCCGCCGAAAGGCCTGGTGGTCCTGCAGGACCAACTTGTAGGAGGTGATGCAGACGTGGAAGGCGTTGGGTTTGGTCCAACCCTGGGTGGGGGACACAGGGAGGGTGAGGGGGGGCAAGGGGACCCCCAAATCCCCCCCCCCCCGTGGGGTTGGGGTTCACCTGGCGCTTCAGCCTGCGCTCCTTCTGCGCCCCGTAGTAGGTGAGGATCTTGAAACTGGGGCACCAGCGCTTCAGTTCCATCTCCCAGTTGAGCATCACGCTGGTGGGTACGATGATGAGGGGGGGGCCCCCGCTGCCTGCGGGGAGGGGGGGTGGCGTCAGGAGCTGGGGGAGGAGCACCCATGGGTGCTGGGGGAGCCCATGGGGACCTACAGACCCTGTGAAGCGTCTACAGCACCCATGGGGACCTACAGACCCTACAAAGAATTTACAGCACCCATGGGAACCTCCAGAACCTATAAAAAGTCTACAGCACCCATGGGTGCTGGGGGAGCCCATGGGGACCTACAGATCCTACACAAGGAGCCCACAGCAGCCATGGGTGGTTGGGAAACCCAGGGAGATCTACAGACCCTGTAAAAACTCTACAGCACCTATGGGTACTAGAGAAGCCTACAGAGATCTGAAGACCCTATAAGGAGTCTACAAGACTCATGGATGCTGGGGGAGCCCATGGGGACCTACAGATCCTACGAGGAGCCTAGAGCACCCATGGGTGCTTGGGGAGCCCATAGAGATTTACAAACCACTCAAAGACCCCACAGCATTTAAGGGTGCTCAGGGAGCACCAAGAAGGGCCCTAAAGACCCTACAAAGACCCCACAGCACCCAAGGGTGCTTAGATGGGCCCTAGAGTCCCTACAAAGGCCCCACAGCACCCAAGGGTGCTCAGATAGGCCCTAGATACCCTACAAAGACCCTACAGAGCCCCCACGACCCTCCAAAGACCCCACAGCACCCAAGGGTGCCCAGGCAGCTCCCACCCAAGACACCGAGCGCCTCCCGAAGCTGCGGCGGAGACTGGGGATGCCCCGGGGGGCTGGGTGGGGGGCACCCCTCACCCTTCTCGCAGGCGAGGTGGGCCAGGAGGGAGATGGTCTGGATGGTCTTGCCCAACCCCATCTCGTCGGCCAAGATCCCGTTGAGTTTCTTCTCGTACATGGTGACCAACCAGTCCAACCCAATGTGCTGGTACTCCCGTAGGGTGCCCCGCAGCAGGTGGGGGATGGGCGTCTTCACCTGGAGGGGGGCGGGAAGGGTGCGGAGGTGAGTGACCCCCTGCCCGCAGCACCCATGGGTGCTGGGGAGGGTGGGGGAGGGGTTACCTGGGTGGTGGCCAAGGTGTAGCCCTTGGGCTGGAGGCTCTCGGCGGCGGCGGCGATGTCGGTGATCTCTTTCTTGGGGGTGGGGGCGGCGGTGGGGGGCGGGGCGGCAGCCGGCGGGGGGCCCCCCGGGGGCGCCTGGGGGGGCAGG